CCCCCTTTGTCACATACATATCCTGGGAACCTAAACCAACAACACATGGTGATTTAGTAGCCTCGGAGCGTGAGGCGCCTTCAGCGACTGGTATTGTGTAGTCTGCTCGGGGACTTCCACCAGATCCTCGAACATCTCCCAGAGGAGAGCCTACTGGTGTTCTATAGATTTCGTGCCTTGTAGGTTCAGAGCCTAGCATGGCAGAGTGATCTAGTGGGGACAGAGGGCGTTCTAGACCCTCTGTCTCTRTGTGCCTYACTTGTGCCTYTGAAGCACGTTTTGGGTGGTCACTCTTGTGTGAAGAAGCAACGAATGCTTCTGTGGGATGTGTCGAGTCCTTGGGCGAAGGGACTCTTGTRGTAAAACCTTCATCCTTTTGAGAGGATGGAGGAGTATTTTGTGGTTGCCCGGCTGTGCGATTCACAGAGGACGAAAAAGTGTCCTCTACGTGGGTAGGCTGGTTTGGGTTCGGCATGTGCGTGCCTTGTTCAATAGGGGATCCCTCTAGAACAGGGCCCCTAGAAACGTGGGATGCACTGGGAGGTGGGCTAGGCTGTGTGCCTTTGGCATCTTGTTCTCCCTCACCTAGTTCTTCTTCCTCTTCTTCTTCGTCGTCTAAGACGACCTCTGTCCCCAACTTGGATATATCGATTGGCACTATGAACTCCTTTTGGATATTGGCGAGAACATCCTGGATTTGTTCTGTTGGGGAAACATCGAGAACAACTTTGTGCAACCTTCTGCGCTTTTGAGTGGTAGCCTCTGCCGGGCTCTTCTATGCCACAACCTCTATGACCACAGGCTCTGTGACCACAGTCTCTGTTGGTTGAGCCTTCTTGACTTTCTTCTTCTTTGGCTTTGGCAGAGCACCACTTGGGCCTTCTTCTTCTGCAGGCCTCTTTTTTTCCTTCTTTTTCACAGAAGAGTCGGTACCCTTCTGTGTCTTCTTAACCTTCTTGGTTGGGGGACTTGGGTTTCTAGGGATTGCCTCACTCGTCTTACCAGCCTCTGCAGGCTCCTCCRTACGYCCCTCAACCCTCATTTTTTCGATTCGCTCTCCTAAGGGGATTCCTATTCGTGGTGGGGTCTCAGGGACCGGTTCTGGTCGCCTGAATCCACGTCTATATGCCTTCCTATCTTCGTGGCTGAGAAATCTGAGCATGGCTCTGGAGAAGGGTCTTGGGCTTCTGTTCCCTTGCTCATGCTCAATAGGGTGAAATTCCTTGAACGGGTAGAGCCTTGCGTTTGGCTACACAGAAGGAAGTTTGGCTGCTAGAAGATCGCCAAAGACTAGACCAAGGAAACGTTGCAGAATAAGGTTGGGTTGGTTCATGTCGTCCTTGGCCTTCTTTTGTGCTTTGACCTTTGATTTTTCGCCCCTTTGACTCGCGCATTTCTTCTTGATTAACCCGACCATATCTTCGAATATTAACTGCACGTAATCCAGAGGAAAGTTGAAGTAGATTCCGTACACTATGGACATCATGGCATGTGAGGTCTGGTCGTGACTACCCACCTTCCCTGTCAAGCAACAGTTGACGATAGAAAACAGGGTGTTTCAGATAGGGGGCAGTCCTTTGCGCTTAAATTGAGTTCTTTTGACGATAGGGGTCGCATAGGAGTGAAATTCCAGGAATTGAACCAGTTCCTCGTCAGTAGGGGTCGCAGCATAGGCATTCAAATTTATTTCCTCCAAAGTGGGTAAACGGAGGGCAGTCCTTAAGATGTCCACATTCAGTTCTAAGGGAACCAGAGATTTATTGACGGGGTGTGAGGCATATCCAACAATTGTTAATCCAGAATTGTCAAGGGTTGTTATGTAGGAACTTAGGAGAAATTGGGTTATATACGGTTCTAGGGTTGGTTTGGTAGCAGATAGGGCAAAGAAAAGAGGATGGTTTCTTAGAATTTCAATTAA